AAAAAAAAACATATATATATATATATATATATATATATATATATATATATATATATATATATATATATATATATATATATAATAACTGAAACCTCAAAATATGCAACAAAGCAAGTGAAAAAAAAAGCAGAAGAAAAGGAAGTCGGAGTGGAGTTTAAATTTCAGGCGGTTGCCGTCTTTGTGTGTTGTGAAAGCTTACAGAGCACTGGAACGAACATAGAGTGTTTTAGCTGGCAGGCATATTCCCGCATGTAAATAATTCAAATGATTATCAAATTCAAGCTGAGATCAAACCTTAGCTTTTGCCTATGCATAATTTCAAAAGTAAAACCGCTGTGTTCAATTCCTTTGATAAATACTACATCAACTTTAATTTCACACTGCAAAAAAAAAAAAAAAAGGACAGATCATTTTGTCCTAAGAGAAGCTGTCTTTTGGGTGTTTTTGTAAATTTTGTCAGCATGTAGTTAAGAATGTATTTACTTATATGTACGAAAATTGCATGATTTCCCCATCCTAAATCTATAAGCAGCCTCCCTGACAAATCAGTGTTATTCTAGCGAAGTCAGACCACATTGCAGAGCTGCATTATTGATAGTGTTCATGGAGAACAGAGGAGAGTTTGATTAGGGATGAGAAACACTGGAAGATGGCCAGGCAGTGTAGTTAAATCAAAGATATAATTCAAAGACATAATTTCAAAGACCGCCAACGTTATGCAAATGCAAATGTGCAGCCCCTTCCAACAAAAACAGATATGGAAGCCAAACTGTGTTTACCGTGGAAAAGAGCTTCACTTCAGAACTCAAGTCACTTCAATTTATTTGATGGGTGAATGTCAGTCAAAAGGGGCGTTCACACTGACAACAATTAAATAGCTTGAGGTCGAACTGTATCAGGCGGGGGATCACTGTGTGCACTCCCATTGGTAGTTGCAGCCTCGCATCGCTGCTCATTTGCATGAAGTCAACTCAACTTTGTTGCATCGCCAAAGGTCGCGTTTGCTCATGACGGCAGAAACAGAGACACTATAAGTAGGAGGATATACTTTTAGATAAATGGATAAAAGAAATTGCAATTCTAACTATGGCTGTTGTAGGAATAAAAGTCCCAGTTTAGAGCTTAAGGATCCAGTTGCCTTTTTGGTAGTAGCATTGTGCAGAATATTACTAACTGTTTTTTCTTTTCTTTTCTTTTCCTCCTCCATTTTTAGCATGATTTAAGCCAAATTTATGATAGATGTCATGGATGATTTGAAATAAGTTTTTAAAGCATAATCTTGACAGAGAGGCTTGGAAATTCTGGCCCTTCCCCATTTGAGTAGACAGTAGGTTGAGTAGACTACTTGATGACTCATTGAAACAGTGACTTCAGGTTGTTTTATTCTGCCATTAAGTTCAGCTAATTTGTAACAGAAATAAAGTTCTAAACATATCAACTCTTTTATAGATGAGGTTTGCTCAGATGCATCTTTCTGAACCATTTTCAAGATGTAAAACCTACAGTTGAGACATGGACGTGTTGAGTAGTGAAGAGCAGAGAGCAGTGACTGTTTAACAGGAATACCCCCTCTAGCTGCTGGCTTTCTATAAAACTCTGGCAAGATGCTTTGATGCCCAAAGGTCAGCGATTGCTAATAAGGAGTCAATGGGATACAGCGTTTGCTTTGTCGCCCCTCTCTCACGTTCTCTCCCTCTCTCTCTGACCAGTGACCCCGGAGCAGTGTTAGGGTATTGTCTTTGAAATCCAGGGCTCCTTGGCTTATACACATTTCTTATTAGTTCTTTTGAACACAGGTAACATATGGCAGGTTGTGTTTAAAAGATTGCCTGCTCTGACCTTTCCTAGCATGCTAATTAGGCCCCTGAGCAGCGTTGGGCCCTCGTGAGTGTAGCTTAGGGACTAGGCAGGGCCTTATCAGGTAGCCTGTGCCAGCCGACGAGAGTGGTGTGGACTTTCAGAATTAACATTTTCACTTCATGTGCTTCTAATAATCACTAACCTAACCCGGCCTACCAACCATCAACCCCCCCCCCACTTTCTCTTTTCTCTCTTTTGCCCGCCTGGACTTTCCACAGGAAATGAAGGTGCCCAAAATTACTTTGACCCCTCGTCGGCAGCGGAGGGTGACTCAAGGCGGTGCAGGATGTCTGGGGTCGGAGGCAGAGATGAGCTGGAATTAAGTATGCCATTTTTTCTCATAATAGGCTGTCTCAGTTCATTAAAGCGGGGTGAGCGGGATCACTCGTAGCCAGTCAGAGCGCTGGGCGGGCCTGTCTATGTAAATACTTTTACCAGTGGGTCATGAGATAGGGTGGTGCTGTGACTGTCATTGCTGAAGGTCACCTATCATTGGTCAGTTCCAGTTCCGATCCCTATGCTTCCCTTAACTTCCTTTAAATGAAGGGGGTTCCTTCCAATACCACTACGTGCACCTCGGTGCGTCTATTAAAAGTGCGCTCTGGGGAGCAAAGTCATATGCATGTTATAATGAAACATGGCTATTAACAGAAAAGCCATTCTGACTGTATCTGTTGGACATCGCCATCCTGTAATATTCCACAATCCTCACAAACCTACAAACCTTTGATAATGACACTCCAGAGGTGGGGACACCTTCAAATGATATTTTGCATAAATTTCATTGCTGTCGAACGACTTACATTGGACTTACTCGCATGTTATTATTAGCTCTGAGCTATAATCATTTAATGCAAATGAAGGTCAGGAATTAATGTCAGTTGTTGGAAATTCATGCCGTATGTTCCTTTATGTTTGGTTTGGACTTTGCAATCCATGTGAAATCAGCCAGTGAGAGGTGTTTGAGAGCACAGCAATAAAATGTACCATATGCCAGCTGTAATATTAATCAAGTCTGATTTGCCTTCCCAGAATTTATGAATGAAGATGAGAGAAACCTTTATGAGAAACTTTCTGAAATGTTTCAAGAAGAAGACGCCTCGACTGTCATAGATTTACCAGGTAATGGTTATTGAACTTTTGGAAAGAAAAAACACAATTAAATATTGGAATATATTTTTTAATATTGGAATTGTTTCTCCTAGACATGAACAGGATCAAACTAAGTATTTGCCTACATCTTCTGCTTAGCCTTTTCTCTTTAGAAAACAAACCCAGCAGTCTCACAACTCTCTCTTCTAGAGTTTCAAGAGAGATTTGAACAATGTTTCAAATTGTGCTTAGAAAAGTCCACTATGAGATCAAACATTTTTCATTAAATTCTTCCAAGAACAAATTATTTTTATGTTATCCATGTTAATTTATTTTCCGTCATTTGTGTCTCTTATTAGGAATTTTAGGAGAAACCTCTGAAACAAAGGTTATTCTTAAATGAAACATACCTGAGAAGTCATATTAGCTTTGAAGCAGCTTCCACTGAGCAGTAGAAGTTTCCACAGGGCTGAACCTGCATCATGTTCTGCATCAAGCCCTGTTCTGTAAAGACATGATGTGAATGTTGTTGAAACAAATTCCGTCAGCCTGGTTTATAAAAAATAATGAATCTCTGCTTTTTACCTTCATTATCAGATGCTTGTGTTTTTTTTTTTTTATGCAAGATGTTTTTACCAAGCAGGCGAAATATTAGCCCCCCGATCTGAAGCTTCAGTGCAAAGAGTGTAATTCCCCAACAAAACATTGAGCTCTCAGGTAGGCATGGAGCTCAACTTCCTGTGTGAGAGCCATTGTTGTGCGTGACTCCAGCGTTTGTCCCATTAGCAGAGGGTCGGATTAAGACTCTCTCCCAAGTAGAGTGTTGGGCTTATGCTTCTTTTGTCTTGGTGTAAAATACTCTCGGTGAATCGGTTGAGGAACCGCACAGCAGGTGTAATTAGTTTGCCAGACTGTCATTGGGTTTAGGCCTCACGGTACACGCGAATACGGTGTTAGCTGTCTAACACTCAACTGGATTGTTGTGGATTTAGCTGGAGTATTTAGATTAGCCTCTTCACCATTGTCTTAGAATGCTCATAAAATCCTTCAAAGAAACAGAAGGAAAGAGGATACAGGATTAACACACACACAGTAGAAGGAGGAGGACGATCACGGGTAGCATCCATCCATGAGGCTTTAACACTGTCACAATAGACTTGAAACAATTGCCTGCAAGCTTTCTTCACCGCCACCTCTTAGTGTAGGACATAGTCTGGTAATTCTCTAAATATCTCCACACCTCTAACACTTCATGGGTTTGGAGCATCATTATCAGAATGGACACAGTCCAGTATGCTGCGTGTAAAATGCTGAGGGAACCAATTGATTGATTCAGATGATTTTCCGAAACCTAGCTGCCTTGCTGTCTGTACATAGGCTGCTACCTTACATGGCAGCTTCACTGCGGTCATATTAGCAAAAAAGGCCAATTATTATAAAGGCCCAGTTGAATGTTAGCAAGTTGTTAAGCTAGCAATGCAACACTCCAAGCATAATAATATACAACAGACAAATATTGGATTCTATAAAAGTCTATTTTTATTCAGACTTACTTGTACTCTTCTTATCGATACTTTTTTGCATTGAATAAGATTTATTTATAGCCGGCATCTTGTTTCTTCTGCCATCTTTGATGAATGCTTTCACCGAGCCTGTCATAATTCATTATGGGATTGCCTTATGTGTGAAGGATACATGAGGTGCAGCCTTAGAATTGGGCCAAAAGAAGGTTTCTACCATTTGGAACAGCCTTTAAATGATCAGAGGGCCTATGAAACCTTAAAATGCTGTCTAGGTAGGTAGCTCACTAGGTTTTTGGAACAGACTTGATATATATCTTTGCACTTTGGCCTGTCTTGATCCAGGTGTTTCCCCATTGGTGTATTGTGCTGCACTGTGAAACAAGCGCACAATCACATTAGGGCTTCATTAGCACTACTTTGTTTGATTAACTCGCTGTTTTAATTAAATCGTACTTCTGTGTAATTTGGTTCAGATGAGGAATGTGTCTAAACCACAGAGAGTTTAACATCACTATCACTGACTTTCAGATTTGTGTTTGTTGTGTATGTTTGTATTCGATTTACAATCATAGTGTATGTGTATTGTAGGTATGGTGACATCTGAGCATGCTGAGTATGTTGAACCAGCAGCTGAGAATGGATGGAGGGATCGACGGAGGGCTGAGCTGCTGGAGAGGAGAGCGGAGGTCATTCCTCAGTACGTGGAGCAGCTCGAAGAGTGTGTTCAGAGAGACATGATCCCAGTGAGCAGACTCACATTAAAACAGGTCAGTTAAATATAAGCCCATAAATCTCTGATGGCCAGAATGATCATTGGTGTGAAGTCATCGTAATCACGGCCTGAATTACATCCAGTCTACACTCTGTCATCAAATGGCAAGAGAAATGCATTTTTTTTCTTTTTAAATCAACAAAGAGTTGTACGCTAAAAAGTTAAAATGTTGTTTACAACAGGACATTTGTAGTTTTGATCTAGTCATGTCACACCACTCAGTTGCTGTTGTGTAGGCGCATTCCTCTCTCTGATTTTCTTTTAGTTTAATGAAACTAGTTTGTGTTCTTGTTGCCCACTCTAGACAGGGTTTGTTCAGAACACGCTGTTCTTTCAGCAATCTTAGTTTTTATGTTTTTACTTGTTTTATTTTGTGGGTTTACCATTTATATTGATAAAGGGAGGGAATGGGACATGACACAGCAATCAAACTACTGTATTTGCATGAGCAGTGCAAATTAAGTTGTTATGAACATTTGGACTGACTGCTAAGACCATAGTAGGGGAGAGTGGGGCACAATGTAACATTTTTTGACTTTCCCAGTGTGTAAATCCATATGGGGTTTAGATTATAATTTTTTTATCCACAATAATTTTACACTTGTCTAGTACAAATATGTCGCTTTGTTTCATAATTACAGTGTATACATTTTTCTTTATTCACCCTCAAAAAATGGAAGTGAAATGTGACAACATGCCCCGTAGGTGGGGTACATTGTAACATCTGAGGGGTACGTTGTAACATGACCATATGACTGCGGAGCTAACCTAACCCTAACCATATGGCAGCTTAAAATATCATCTGATCTAATGAACAAAAATATACAAAACAAACTAAAATATTTTGTCAATAAAATAAAATTATGCACTTTTTCAAATAAAATAATGGCGGTTTTTAAGAATTAAAAATAATCTGATTTAGGAGACCGACAATGAATACATTGCAACCATGGTTGGGATGGCCCACATAAATTAGCAAAAATGCTTTGCATTTCTTGATATAATAACTTATGAACATTAAACATTGACTGTCAATCTTTATTCACCTGTTCCTTGTGGTTTCTCATTGAAATTAATTAAAGTAAATAGTGTAAATTGTATTGCTAATGTCATAGAATAGCACATTGTAACGCAGTGTTACAACGTGCCCCATCTGCGCAACTGGAATTTAAAACCAGTTCGTGTCTTCTGCTAGTTAGCGAAGCAATAAAAAAAAAAAAACTAAACTGATAAATAACAGATTAAAATAATAGCAGATTTGCCTCATTTAAAATAAATACTAAAAACTGAGATGAAAAATTTACTTAAGCCAGACATTTACTTTTACTATGGTAAAATAAATATTCAACAATATCTTCAAAAGATTTTGAATTTTGGCACACTTTTTTTTCTCTATATAGTGTTGATATGGCAACTAGTAAATACCATAAATTGTGTTATGCTAGCATGTGTGGAAATATTCAAACCATGTGTGTTACAACTAACCCTGCATTACTTTGTGCCCTGCGCTCCCCTAATGGCTAATTATTTGTGCAATGCAGAAAACGTTGTCAGAATTGCAGAATCCAGTCATAAAAATGGAATGTACTGTATAACACAGAATATCATGGGATTGGACATTTTTTTTGAAAAATAAATAAAAAATAGCTCTGTACACTTAATCAAATTGCAATATGGAGTTGTGTCTGTGAATAGTAAAACACAACAAGACTTAAATATAAAGTTTACATATTTTTTTTGTGTCACTGTGTGAATGAATGGCACAGTTTCGTAGTATTACCCAAACTGAAGCACAAGTGATGATCATAGTATTTTCAGTGTCTGTCATATGACGACATGAACACCTGAACTTAATCTCCAGAGCTGCTCTGAGAGTTCATTTCACCAGCTTTTCACCATTTCATTTGAGAAAATTGTTGTTATATTATACACATTGAAACGTCAAAACAACCCTTCAAAATAAAACTTTGGTTTAACTTGAAGAAATTATGACAGAAATACAGTATTATTGTACAACAGACAAAACTATACTGTCTGTAGAGGCAGCATCCTGACTAAAATAGAACCTTGTAACTGTACTGATTTGGATTTGGTTTCTAACAGTTTTACTTTATATTAGCATGTCGCTATATTTACAATAATAATTTATCACTTCATCCACTATCTTTGCTGAATTAGTTTTTCACTGAGCTTTGTCTTTAAGGACAACAGATGTGTCCATGCCTTAAAATTCTCTCTTTGTAGGCAAAATTGTGTAATTTTATTTTGAATTCAATGTGTTGCACAGCTTTTTGGTTATTGGAATATAACTCATGGGTGCTATATATCTTTTTTATTTTAATAGAAGATTTCTTTGTTCATGTATATGGCCCAGATTTATTGTTTATGGTGAAAACCCCTTGTGAATGTATGTCATTGGTAATGTCATGTACTATAAGTTCACGTTATTTATGTCTTGCTTGTCATTTTTTGCTTTTCATTTGCAACCAAAACAGAAAAATCTGGGATGTTTCAGGTCATATTCTAGATGCTTCACTTTCTATGCAATTCTATATACAGAGGAAATGTCAAAAAACACAAAACTACACTGAACAAGATCAGAATTAGCCAGCATATTTAAGCTGCAATCAGTCTTGGCAACTTGTTATGACTGAAATGCGAATGAAGAGTTGCACATTAAATAGAGAATCTGAAGTTGAAGTGAGAAATGAACGCATAAGGAGCGGATGGGATGTAATGGTTGTTTGAGTCATGGCATGTGTTGAATAATCACTTTTGGTTTGTGTGCGACTGCAGAAGATAGCTCTCCAACTGTTCGGAAAACACAGCATTATCCCTACCACACTCCACAAGCATTTCACAATAATGTGTGTTTAAGCAGCACAGGATGTACCGCTGTCAGTCAGCGAGTATAACGCCTCTTAAACGTCCTGACTGAATTCTGCGGTGTGTCTGTAGGGTTTGCCTGCAGATTGTATTAACACATCTCTTTAGATGTTATGAATTCAAGTTAGCCACATGTAGCGGCAGAATGCAGTCTACTGGTCCTAAACAAGAACATGGATTTTCCTTTTTGGCAGGAAGAGCGTTCAGAGCGAGGGAAGACGGAGGAAAAGGTGTGGGCGAGGAAGCAGAGAGTAATGTCGCTCTTAAGGGGAAATTCAAAGGTACTGATGTGTGTCCAGAAAAAGGAAAGATTACTGTAGGTATGTCAAATGAGATTTCCTGAGGTACAGGAGCTGCTGCTGAGACCTTCTGCTGTCTTTGCCTATCAATCACACTGTACTATCACTCAAACATACAGTCACAGACTAATATGGACAATTCTATGCAGTTTTATAGAACTGTAACACATAAATGCATATATAATTGTATATATAATTATAATATAAACACACACACACACACACACACACACATATATGTATATA